TTGAAAAAAAAAATGCAGAATTGAGTTCTCCCTCTTCAAGCCATTTTTCCCTGGATCTTATATAAGCACCCCTAGCCTTCGATACGTATAACTCATCCAATTTCATTTGCAAAGCTGCAATTTCAGATTTTTCCTCCAGAGACATCCAATCAAAAGTACTAGTTTGAGATAATTTCTTCAAGAACCCTTCTTTTTTGGCCAAAAGTGTTCCAACTTTTCTTAACCTCCTGAGACCCTGCATCCTCATATGAGGACATTATATTTTAGTGAATTTCTCTGAGACTATACATGCCAGTTTTAAGTCTGGATGTCCTGTACAGAGCACATTAAGGGCTTTTCAGAGATACTAAATGTTTGGATGTTTCACCATGACCACTCCCTCTCCTTGGTCTTCAAAAATTTCTGATTTTAATTTATTGAAACTCTTATGGAAATATGATAATATTTTGTAATTATCATTTCAACCTGACTAATTTTTAAACTGTGTCATAAATCAACATCTCAGGAAAATGTTATGGGGTTTCAAATCAAAATATGACTTTCTGTTTTGAAACATGACGTTTATTTCATACATGTCCTCATAGGAGGACACCAGGACTAAATATGATAATTGTTTGTAATTATCATTTAAATCTAATTTTTAAACTGTGTGTCATAAATCAACATCTTAAGAAAATGTTATGGGTTTCAAATCAAAATATGACTTTCTGTTATGAAACCGGACGTTAATGTCATATGAGGACACTGGGACTAAAAGCATGTTTATTAAGCATTTTGGCACGACACAACAAATGAATAGGGAAAGAAATGATATTTCAATATTCCTATGAAATATTATATATTACTATGAAAATCTTGTCAATTATTACTCTCATTATTACACTTCTTTTTTTCATTACATGTTGCCCCAAAAACACATTAATATGCAAATTAGATTTAGTTTATAGATACATTGTATATAATGAGAAACCATGTTTATGGCCATTTTACACACATTTTGCATAAAGAAAAATGGTATATCAAATCATTCTGTTATAACATAGTTGAGAATCATCTTTATACAAAGTTTGGTAAAAAAATAAATAAATCCTGAAAACTAAACATTTTTATATCACTTTATATTAGTGATTTTTAAAAATCAATTGTTTTTGCCAATGCATGTTCATTCATGTGTTTTTATTTATTTATTTATTTTTTTAATTGAGTCCTGATGTCCTCTACAAAGGACGTAGCATAACTTATGAATTAAATATCATTTAAATTAATTTTTTTAATGCTCTAAACAATGTAATGACATGGAAAAAAAACTTTTCCTAAATGTTTTCCTAAAACATTTTGCCGAGTCTCAGGAGGTTAAATAATCACCAATCTCAAACTTAAGAAGCTCCCAATTGAAACAAAATAAATTTTGAATTGTGGCTGCTTTCCAACAGTTAGCAATTAATTCTTTAATTTTATCTTTTACATCTGCTAATTCTAACAGCGAACTGTTAAGTTTCCACAAAGATGCTCTGCATTGGCCTACTACATAATCTGCCATTAAAGGGGTCATATGATACGATTTCAAATTTTCCTTTCTCTTTGAAGTGTTACAAGCTCTTGGTGCATAAAGAAGATATGTAAAGTTGCAAAGACTAAAGTCTCAACTCCAAAGAGATATTCTTTATAAAAGTTAAGAGTCAACCACACCTACCTAAAACGGCTCGTTCTAA